AAAATAAAATTCAAATTCAAAAGTCGTACCTTTCATGTCATAACCATCACATCTCTGGGAATGGAACTGCTGAGTGGAAGGCACCTACTATACACTGTCGCAACAAACGTGGGCTGACTTAACTTAGATATTTGTTGTTCCTTACCCCTGTCTTCCTTAGTATAATTAGTTTGGAATCTAGGGTTACAGACATAACTCTGAAAGGTTTGGTTTACTGTAAACGCTTCGGCAAGGCAATAATTAAAATCTCTACGATAAACAATGGAATTGCGTTATTAGTCAGAAACTTTGGTAGTACAATATGGACAGTAGCATTAGAGTTCTAGTTTTATCTGTCAACTTTCAAACAATGTCATTTGTAGTAAAATGAGAAATGGCATAAGTGGCTAAACCAAAGTTACTCTTCTGTAATACATTTTATATGAATCGTTTGTGAAATTATCAGCAAAGTCGTTCGTAAAGTGCCATCAGACTTGGTAACTATCGCTAGACCAGGTCAGCGGAAAATAAGTAATAACTCAAAAGTAAGCTATCTGGTTCGTTGCAAAAAATTTATATTCTGTCAACTATCCAATAATTGTTCTACAGTAAGTAAGTAAATTGTGCAAGAAGTCTCAGAAAAATTTAAAAAAGGTTCCGTAGCACCATGCGGCTAATGTGAGAGTTCGCAAAGTGCTTCCTTATGTGCGAGCACTTGTGAAACAACAGCTGCTCCAAGCCGTTTCGTGGGCGTGACGAAGCGAGGACAGTAAATCATTTTCACTTCAGAATTCCAAGCTCGCCGAGCTGGCATTCATTTATCCATGAGCTGTTTATAAACGGTTTACGACTGTAACAGTCTTTTTCAATCAGGCTCCTCTGTCGATGTTCATCGTTGCATCCAGAAGGAAGCCGGAATCATATCAACACGGCAGTATGCGTTTTTTGACTCTGGCGGCCTTTGGCCTTGGCAGATGGCTGTCAAGCGTCCTTAACACTGTCGCATTCTCTGCGCCTGAACGAGCCCTATGAAAGGTAAAATTTCTTGCCTCAGACGATTATCATATCTTACAGCTTTAATCAGTACACTTTTATCATGTTTTATCTTTTTAACTGATAAATGCTGAGAATAACAATGAAATGTAGGTAGATGAATGAATGGGTACGAGCGAAAGCATGAGTTTGCGATGTCATTTCCCTGGTGGAAAGGTTAAAGTGACAATGAACAGGATATCTTAAAGAAGAACCGACCATCGCTGAACCAGAGAGACATTAACATTTGTGGCAAGAGAGTCAATAATCCGCAGAATAACCTGCACATCTATTGCAGGACCAGTTGACGAATTTATCCGAACCAAGATGGATAAGAATCGCAGAAGACATAATTGTTTGTGACAATTCTTGAAGAGACCATCATCCAGCAGTGGATTGAGAAGCAATTGCAAAAGGTAGGTTCACTGCGACTTCCAAAGTATCCACTGTCAACTTTACAGATCATACGCACAAACTTGCGTAAAGTCGGAAATAATGGAAGCGTCCTAATCAATCAATCAGTCAATCATTTATAATTTTTTTCCAAAAAATAGGCTGAATCATGCGCAAGCCCATGGCGTTTCTTTTGCTCCCAGACTCCAGGCCGTGAATCGTAATTAGAGTTCGTTGTCGAATTAGTTTTCGTTTTCGTCTCGATCTTGGATTGAATCCTTTCAGTAGTACAATTTCTGAACTGTTGGTTATCCTGCTCGTTCTTCTAAACACCGATTTCAATGAACAACAGCGTTTCATAATACAATTAATTAAGAAGTTATTTTGCAGATACCACTTTATTGCATCTCATGATCATTCTTGCACACTTCTGCTGAAATGGAGGAATTCCAGGATTGCGAAAGAAGGCGAAGATGTTCTCTTTTTCGTCGTATGCCATACCATGAAAGCCAATCGTTAGCAAATGTGAGAAAACAACGCAGAGACTAACGTTTGAATAAGGCATCATTGCACTCTAAAAGGAACCGCTAACAAAGCAAGAAAACACACGAAGCTGCATATCAGCTGAACCTTAGAGGCGAAACAAACTCAAGTGATTAGAGGTGGAATTTGATAACCTCATTCTAAGCCTATTTCAATCATTCCATGCATGAATTATTTCATTAATTAATTTACGAGTTGGAACTAATAGTACCAGGTGAGCGGTACTGTTTCTTAAAGTTTTATACACAGCTATCCTTATCCATGGTCACCACTACTGGAAATTGACCGAAACGATGCTGTCACATATAGACGTGGCGTCAAGGCAGTTTCTTGATGAGAATCACTACGATTCTAAACGCAACAACCCGAGATACCAAGATTTGAACCATTTCTTATTTGACGTTAATTGCAAGGCTACAGAAGAGACTTGCAGAGCGAACACTTTGGAAAACCACAGAAATAATATGGCTCTTACGTTGAGATCCTAGCATCGACTAGACTTGAAATTTAGCACAAGAAGCTCGCCCGTTTGCCGGACAATTATGGAAATTGGAAGAGGCT